ATCTTGTTGCCAATTTTTTGTCCATGTTTATAGCCTTTTTAGCGAGACTAATCTAGCTTTTAAGAGTAGCTATTAAATCTTCTTTCACACAGGCAATATTGTAACTGAAAAAGTAATTTCTTCACAACAATATCAATCAAGCACATACATAAGTATGTACCTTAGTATGCCAAAAGCTGAAATATCAAGGTATAATAATTACCACTTCATAAATGTATTTCTTCTCCGCGTAATCGATCAATCAATTAATTATTTGTTAGGAAAAATATGTTATGTTCCACGTTGGGATAGAGAAAGAAAATGGTCAAACTTGAATCTCTGAATGATTATTCATCACTTAAACTAATTAAATAGGGCATTCAAGAACCAGATCATGATCAAATTCGAGATACTGGTTATGAACCATAAAATTATTGAAATTTAAAAAGTTGCTTCTTTCAATGATCAATTTAATTTAATTATATCTTACTAGATGTTACTCGTTGCTTCGCTTCCGGTTTAAATTTTTTTTCAGTCTATATTTATCATTAATTATATATTTTACAGATCAAATTGTTTTTAGGTCAAGTTAAACATGACCCCTAACAGAATTTTAGGATTAGTGCGGGCCGGAGTATGTTGATGTCGGGCAAGATTTTTAGTTGATTAATTTGACCTGGGTCAAGTTTAGGGATGTATTACATAAATTACTTTGTTACATTCATGTAAATTACATTGAATAATGCATTGTCACAAAAGTTTGGCCAGCAAATAGATATCCATCATTATGTTTTGAATGTTATTTTTAATGGCAGTGTAAAAATTGCATGTAAAATTACGACCCTACACAGGTCGAACAAATATCGGCATTTTTTTTGACCTGATATTAGTTGGAATTTGGCTTGAATCGGGACCTATAAGATATAAATCACTTGTATCTTCACATACACTTAGCACTTAACCGTTTGCCTCTTTCGTAACTGCAATAAACCCGAAAACCATTTATACCGAACTTATATGTAAGAGGCTTTCGGGTGTAACAGTACAGTGGATAAAATAGCCAATCACATGAAAAGTCCATCTGTATGTGCGTAACAGAAATTTCAATAACTTATCATTATCAAAAAAAATGAATAACTATTCGCGCAACTTTAACAATGTCAATTCCAGACGAAAAATTACGTAAGGTGGGATAATTCTTATTTAAATTAATTAATTGTATTAATAGTTGCCTAATCATGAAATATTCAAAACAAAAGGTACTTTTTGAGTTACAAAATAGATTGATCGAAGACAATCGAAAGCTTGTTTTAGTAAAGACTCAAATATCAACGAAGGAACGGGATAAACGTTTAGCTGAACTGACAAAACGAGAATTATCAGCTTTAGACAAGGATACTAGAACTTATAAATCTGTTGGCAAAGCGTAGGTATTACTTTCGATAAACCGAGACTATTATTAAATTAAGATCTCGAAATATCTAAAAAAAAAAAACCACCTTAAAGATTTTTCAAAACAGATTTATCATTATTGATGACGGAACTTGATACACGTGTTACAAAAGCCGAAACTGACCTAAAGACTTTGGATAAAACTAAACAACATCTAGAAAGGAATATTAATGAGTCTCAAAACGCTTTAAGAGAAATTACTTATATTCGTGGTTGAGCATTATGGATATCAACTTTTTTTATCATTCTTTATTTTTATTTTTTTTGTTGATTTAAATATAGGAAAGAATTTCATGTTGTCGTCGGTATACCTAAAGTGTCTCATGTACACTATCATTTGTTAAGTAAACGTGTGAATGTGATTATAGCATAATCAGGTGGTCAATGATCAAATGGAAGGGTGAGAGAAAAAGGCAAATAATCTAATGAAGCTTTGTACAGTCTAATATCTATAAACGAACACACATTCACATCTCAATTCGCTATTAACGTTAAATGTAACGTTAATGTACATCCAGTAGAAAATTTTGTCTAATCATATGGTCCTTAGTACGTGGGACAGTGTATACATAGTATGGAACTGTCTCAACATTGGTCCTTAAGGAGTAATTAGAGAGGTTTGCCTCTGTATGGTTTGGTTTAAAGGCTTATATTGTAATACGTACATACTTGCATCCTCTGAATTATGATTTGACGACAACTATATTGAGAAATATTAGCTGCAGTTAACCTTCAACAAAGAACAATATTAGTGTTGGCATTCGGATTATAAGATTATATTCGTATTTTTTTGAGTATGTCCAATTAAAAATCACCATGTCATATTGTTTTTCAATATTAGTCCAAATGTCAACACTGTTAATAGACTTTTGATGTAAATATTTGATGAATTTAAACATCTTTCAATAGCAATTCTTTTTAAAAATTGATACTACGGGCTACCGTTGCAATATATTGTACGTAAAACAATGTGAGAATATAATACAAAAATGGAAAAAAATGAACATGAGATACATCACACCCTTGAGTGTAACAAAAATTGTTACGTTTAGTTGGTAAATGTTTCATCAAATGAAAACCCGGAAATCTTCATAAGATTTCCTAATCTTAGTTCAAATTTGAAAACGAATTTAGGAAAATTCTAAAGAACTTTTTAACAATCAGAATGTTACTCAAAGGCGGTAGAAAAACTAAATGGCTTATTGTTTAGGAAATTGACAAATTCTATGTAGTAAAATTTATATTATATAAGTGAGGATCGGGTATTCTGACGCGGGGGTATTTTGACGCACTTAAATTTTTTATATCTTGCGATGCACTGATCAGAATCAACCATTTTTAGTACCATTCGATTCGTTTTACTGAGATGAATCGTATGATACAAAAATGAATCAATTCCGATCATGACTTGAAGGAAGATTAAACGTTATTGTGGAATTCTTACGTTGTTTTCTCCTTTTTTCTATCTGAGTAATTTCGAGAAAAAAGATCAGAAAAGTACAATATATCGATATACATATCTCCAACAAAGAAAAGCATAAGTTTTAGATGGCTTTTTGAGGGGGTTGATTTCAAGGTTTTTTTTTTTGACTTGTCGATAGATATTAAGTCGAAGATTAGTTTAATTCAATAAATCTTAGAAAAATATATTTCTTAGAGCCTTTTATTATTAGCACACTTAGGTGCGTCAGAATACACGTATTATCCTTGAAATTCTTGTAATACTCTCTAAGTTGAAATTTTCATTAATTTCATTACACGATATATAAATCAGTATAGCTGAGAATATACAAGAATATGAACCTCTAAAGCAGCTACGACGTGTCTTTCTTCTATTTTTTTTTCATTCAGATCTTGTTTAGCTTCATTATTAGCTTCTTCGGCTAGCCGTTGAAGGAATAAAACGTAGTCTAGATAAATCTATATATTTGGAAAAGAAGTTATTAAAAATATATATATTCAAACGCGTATTAATATTATACATTGACCAACCATAACGTCTACATTCTTGGTCAATGTTCTGTTATGGTGAGATTTGATTATTCTTTTAAGTGTTGCACGAGGAAATAATTGAGTCATTCTTTCTAAGGACAAAAAGAAATTAATTGTCAAATTTTTACGTGTTGTTTGGTGGATTAGTGTTACCTAATAGATCGTCCAATAACATGTGTTTGCATTAATGTGAGCAGATTGATTTTCAAACCTTAATTCTGGTCGGATATCAGAAGGTTGTGAATCCAAAATTCTCTTATAAGAATTATATCGATATATCACATATCGATATCGTTAAATCGGTGGCTATATAAGGTTTCATTGAACCTGAATTAGGAATATTGAATTTTATATAAATCCGAATTATTGAACACTTTTTTAGGAGGTTAAAGCTGCGTAGTCGCGTGAACTATGAAATACGTATACTGAGCCAACCTCCTTTGACTTAATAAATTGTTCTAAACATTTATTCAGAGGCTAAAAAGTTTTAATTGGACTAATTGGTTTAATCGGATGATTTGCTTTCAATCCATAGAAAACTACTCCCTTTTTTTTTATTGCAGCATTTTCACGTGATTACTAAGCATTTATTAGAACTTATACGTAACAGTTTCCGATTAACATTAATAACGTAATACATTTCTTTTCGGAGAAGAGATTTGCAAGAAGGGATAGGTTAATTAAAAATAAATCCTTTTAACCATCAAAATTTTCGTGATAATTTTGTGTATCATAAATTTTAAATGAGGTTTTCTTATATCACTGTGTAAGGTGAATACTCTCTCATGTCAAGTATAAGGCTTCTGACACAATCGTGAAACTGTCCATCAATAAATATAAACATATTGTGCATATTCTTTGTTAGATGAGATCATAGATTTATTATCGCATAACCATTTATATTTAATTTTATCACCTGACTATTTTACCTATACCAATATTGCTACTAGAGTGAGTTACCCTGATATTTATTATATAAACAATGGTTACATTGCCTTCTAAGCCACCCGAAACTGTGCGAGATCAGTATAAAAACATCTGTTTCGATATTAGCCATTTTTTTTTTACTTGAAAAAAAAACCGTTAAAATGACTTCACACACAGAGAAGAGTACCGCAGAAGAAGACTCTGATATTATTGAGTTCTTAAACCGTAAGTTGGCAAATCTTTCAGTGGCATCTGATGCAGCAGAAGTATTAGGGAAAAACGATGACGGCTTGCCAGTTTGTGAAGTGTCAATGCTGGTTTGTTGTGGAATATATTTTTCTAAAAATATAATGAAATAAAGAGTCGTTTATTTCATTATGTTGTATCTTATCAAGACCTTTTTTTTTGTCAATTTATTTAGTTGCCTCAATATGCGCAAGCTGTTTATAATGCACTTCATTCTTCGGTGCGACAATTACGACTTGCTGCAGTTGTAAGATTACGAAAATATCTATCTTTGCGTGTGTATTATTTATTATTTGTTGTTAAATAATTATGACTTTCTTTTTTTTGACCATTACTAATTGTCCTGCTTTAATGTTCCCTGGATGTGCAGAAAATGTTGATGAAAGAGTTGATAATGTCTTGGCGTTGGAAATAATACCGTTATTGATAGAATTTCTTGAATCTTATCATGATAATTTATTACAAGTGAGTATAATTCATAATTATTAAGAATTTATTTATCTTTTTTGTTTTTAGCTGACTAAAAATAACTTTACCTTTGTTTGATGGGTTTTCAGTATGAAACTGCTTGGATAATTACTAATATAGCCGTAAGCATTTATTTATTCAATTCGAATAATAAATTTTCTTTTTTTTTATTGTGCCAATATCTATTGGTTTTTAAAATTTTGATTGATTATCTTTCTAATATTGGCTTTTCAGGCTGGTTCTACGCAGCATACACAAACTTTAGTCGCTGGTGATGTAACTCAACATCTTATCAAAGTACTCACCACGTCAACAAATATCGAAGTTCAGACGCAGGTAATAAACCATTTATTTATTTATTTTCCTATTGACGCAAATCTTTAATTTCAAATAAATAAGTCTTCTAAATAATTGTACTGGTAATAACAGATTATATGGGCATTAGGGAATATTGCCGGTGATGGTGCCGTTTTCAGAGACATTATATTATCGGCTGGAGTGATCGAACCTTTACTCTATATTTTAACACATTACGATAAATACGACTACATGGCCGTTAGAATAACAGTCTGGGCAACCGCAAATATGTGTCGTGGATGTCGTTGTTCGGATCCTTCATGGTCTCTGGTAAGCAGTATAATTCACACCTGATCATTTTGTAATTTTGGTGGATTTTTCTTAACTTTTTAATTTTTAAAAAAATTTTTTTTCTTTGCTTCAAATAATATTTTATTAATATTAAATTAGATTACTCCTGCTTTTCCAATTTTGGGCGCCATGGTACAATTGAATGATATAGAAATTATATCTGATGCTTGGTGTGTTTCTTGACAGAATCCTGTGTGAAATGTTGGTGTGGCAGATTTGGTAATAATTAGACGTTAATCTCTGTTCCACTCTGTTATTAGTTGGGGCATGTCGAGAATTTTGAATGGAACGCATAAGCATAGAGAGCATGCTTTAGTTAGTGACAGCACACTATGTCATCGATTAGTGCAACTCCTGAGGTTAAAATTCTTTCCGTATTATGCGAGCTTTATATATATATATTTTTATATATATAATATATATATTTGAAGTAAATTTTACACTTTTTTTTTTCCTTTTGCAGTGAGGAGAGTCTTACGTCTGCTGTACATTTACCTGTATTACGAACTCTAGTTAATATAGCGTCTGGGGCAGGTTTGTATTTATAATGTATATACATATATGCATATATATATATATATATATATATGGATTTTTTTTATAACATTCAACTGAAAATTGGTAAAATTGCCTTTTATAGAGAAACAAACACAGTCAGTTATTGATGCTGGTGCATTGACCGTTTTGACATCATCATTTTTGACAACCAAAAACTTGACACTACGGCGTGATGCATGTCTAGCGGTGTCCAATGTGGCTGCTGGTACATATAAACAGGTACTTGAAATTATTAAAAACCTTGCGATTTCAATAAATCTGACTAATTACATTTCATTTATTCAGGTAAATGCTGTACTTACAGAACCTAATCTAATAGAGAGTATTGTCGCCTTACTTTGGGATAGTGACATGAAAGTCGTTAAAGAAGCTTGTTGGGTTCTTAGTAACTCTACTAGTTTACATAACCCTAATCATATTCAGTTCGTATAGATTTTTTTATTATTATTTATATGTAATTTCAAATTACTACCTGTAATTACTCTAATTACCTTATTTAAATGATTTAGAATTATCCTTCAGCACGATATTATAACACCTACTCTCCATCATTTGCGTAATCCAGCAACTCCGCATGAAATCTTGAACAAACTTATCGATACATTAGTTAATATCCTCTCAGTTGGTGATTTGTCAGGTCCAAATTCATCACAGATATTGGCTAATGAATACGCTGACAAATTAGCATCTGCAGGAATAGTAGAAGCATTATTTATGACATGGAATAATACTACAGTAAACGAAATTGTAAAAGAGAAAGTGCGTGGATTATTAGAACGGTGGTTTTGTGGATATTTACCACGAAATGATCAAAATGGTGGCGAAATTGAAGAAGATATTGCGTCAATTGAAGAACGTGTTTCAAGATTGACCATTATGGGTGGCGTTTTTTAGAATATTTGATTGCTAGTCACGCTAATTTAACAATTTGATTTATCATGTTATACTCGATTTTGATTAGCTATTAAAATATGTAAACAACTAGTATATTATCATATAGACGGACTTCTATAGAATAACTTTCTCGTGATCGGTTAATTTTATACAATGGGATTATACAGTCTAGAATTAGTCTAGAGTACCTTTACAACGTAACGCAGTAAATTAAAAGGTGTTATAATTGGTTGATTGTTCAATATTTGGTTATATTAGATATATCTTTTAAATAATTTTTAGATATTCACGGATATTTTGGGATTACTATTAAAAATGTAAATAGTTTTTAACAGTAAATAACTTGATTCGATTTGTTTCGGATAATTTTACTCATTACCAAAATAATTATTATCATAAACCTTATTTCGATAAATATATGTAAACTCTTCAATTATGCATTATTTGGGATGTTTGAGATGCTTTCGAATTGGTTAAACCTAGCGCTAGAGGTTGGAACTGATTTTAATAATTCTAGTTTATCACATTAAAATTTGGGATATTCTAGAATTCATAAAAATTTAATTGGATATATTAAAACTCAAATTTTAAAATACTTAACGTTAACGTTAATACGTAGTTGTATAACTTTAAATTGTTGTAACATGGAATTATTACCAATCAATTACAGCAATTCATATATTAAACATATCAATCCGACTATGTTCGGAAATGACGTATCTCACCATTTTTTTTTCCATGACTAACCTATCCGCCGGCAACATCTAAAAAAAATTATCCGGTAGCTATGACTTAGAAATTCATAATAAGCCGCCGGATAAATCCGTTATCAGGCATGATGATACTGCCTTATAACTTACTGTAATTATTTGGTCAAGAATTTTAAGGTCAGCCTAAAAAATTGAATTCTTTCGGAATTCAATTTTCTTAATCTGATCTTAGATCTTCGACCAAATAAACCAGTTATCAGGCAGTGCCTACCTAATAGCTAACTATTTATTATTTTATAATACCTGATCATTCCGTTAGTATATGTTTATGATCTGGTATTGTAAAATAGTTTTTTTTTATATGTTGCACACCGGGCAGGGACAGTGAAAAATATCACAAATTTGGCCAACCTGAACTGTTGGTAAGTTTCGGAAACGTAGACAATCAACAAACAGAAAAACATGTTTTCCTGGAAAGTTATATTGTGTTACACCAAATAGTGCATTTTGATTGGACAATCTTGGTAAATCGATATTTTTTGACTATATCGATATCGATAAATATTTGCCGCGTTTTATTATGTTTTTTTATTATCTGTTATATAAAAGCAGATTTCACCCTCATGTGATGATCATAGTGGGGTTCACCCTGTCGTAATATTTTTGCGAAGTCAAATCGATCCATGACACCGGGATCAGTCGACAGTTTCTCCTGTTACACGAATCACATGAATTAACATTGACCAATCATATTAATTATAAATGACTGTAAAAATTTACGAGCAATAGATTTAAAACTTGTAAAAAATGGCAAATCGCACAGTATCAGACGCAATAGCGATACACGGTACAAACCCTCAATATCTTATCGAAAAAATCATAAGAACAAGAATCTACGAATCTCTTTATTGGAAAGAATCATGTTTTGGCTTAACAGGTCATAGTTTACTTATCAGATCCAGTTACCAATTGATACTAATATCTTACTCTCAAAAAAATAGCTGAAACGCTAATCGATAGAGCAGTTTCGTTAACTTCGTTTGGTGGTCAATATGGAAATCAAAAACCAACAGAGTTTCTTTGTTTAACTCTGAAATTATTACAATTACAACCAAGTAAAGAAATTATTATAGAATTTATTAGGAACGAAGAATATAAGTACGTCCTCATTTAAATTAATTGGTTGTAGAAAATGTCAAAAGAAATTATTCGATTCAATATAGTTGTCTGCTTGTGTTTATGCAGGTATTTGAGAGCTCTTGGTGCATTTTACTTAAGACTTGTTGGAACATCACTAGAAATTTATCAATATCTTGAACCATTATTATATGACTATCGAAAATTGAGAAAGAGAACAATCGGTAGATTGAATTCATTATTCATTATTCATGTCTTAAAAATTTTCTAATAATATTAATATCTTTCATTTTTTTTTTAAGATGGTGGATTCACAATTATACATATGGATGAATTCATTGATGAACTATTACGTGAAGACAGAGTATGTGATACTATATTACCACGAATTATAAAACGTTATGTGTTAGAAGAAAATGATGAACTACAGCCACGCGAAAGTGCACTCGAAGATCTTTTAGAAGAAGAGGATGATGATGATTATTGATTGCAGGAGTGTAGTCGATTAAAAAAAAAACTTATAAGCTTAGCCGAGTCGATGATTTTTGATACGACTAAGCTGACTTAATCGATTATCAAAGAATTAATAAATAAACTATTCCTGTTAATCACGTTTGTATTTTTATTTTTACTTTATTTACATAACGATAAATAAAAGAAAGGAATGTCGTTATATAGTAATTTCGAAGTAAAAATAAAAAATGAAAAAAAGTGATGTCGAACCAGACTACAATGTTTGACGTAGGCGTCTCTGGTGAAAAATTTTTTAATCGATTAGTTGGACCGACTTTTCCGTAAATTAATTTAATTTTAAGATCTGTGTATTATCTTGTATCGCTTCATTAAGTTATATAATCACGATGTTTGGTGTTTCTTATGTGGACGGATTTATTTGGACCGGTCTTAATTTTTGGACCAGAAACTATTTGAATCGGTTTAAAAAAACCGGACCGTAACATCCGTAATTATAATACCCACCTTCTGTAAATCCGGGGTACTATAGTCAGTGATGTATGGGTAATTAGAACGTTCTTTATCAGTTATAGAACATACTTCATCATTAAACCACTAGCCGCCATATGTTGCATTTAATTTTCATCATATTTATATAATATATAGTGTATATGGTTCATTATAAACTGAAAAAATTACATGTGTAAAATTTAAACCGCGACGGTTATTGTTATGTGTCCACAAAAAGGTTATAATAACTGAAATTATGAGACAATTATTATTCGAAATATAATATTGAATTTATTCGTACGCGCAATATACAACTGATAATTAGAAGTAGACTAAAATGATTCAATACGATTTAATTTAGATATATATCTATCGCCGTATAAAATTACAATAAATGAAAATTTTTCATCAAACGTCGAATGAAAGAACAACTGTATAATCTCCACAATACAGAATAAAGCTGTCTTAAATTATATATATATATATATATATATATATTTATTTATTTATTGCGTCTTTAAATAATATTGAAAAAACAATTCTGGGCTTGTTAATTTTCAAGGTCCCGAAATATAAAACTACTTACCAAATGTTTCTTTATACCCAAGTAAAGCTTCAAGTGTCGTGATCTATTTTAATATTATTGTAAAGTTATTACGTATATATTTAAACTTTTCAAAAAGCTTTAATACATATATTTATTGTACATTCCTAATTTTCTAGCTTAAAAACTGTCTCTAAGTGAAGTGTACCTAAAGTGAGTAAATCACAGAAATACATAAGATACTTAAAGCTTCGTTTGCGAAAAGTCTTCTATAGTATTATAAACGACTACAAAAGATTGTGAAAAGTCAATAAGTTTTAGCTAAAATGCATAATATACCTGACTATAAAAATTAAACAACTCAATTTCAATGACTACAATATCAACAGTAATACACCAACAGAAATAGCACTATTTAGTAACTATATAATACTTGGTAAAAAAATTAATACATAGCAACTAATTTTTATTGCACGTAATAATTTTTTATTATTATTTACTTTTAACGTTAATTTTAATATTAAGTTTATTAACGAATAATTTTTTAATCCATTTTTAAAATTTTACACTTAAAAAATTTTTATTATTTACATTTAATGTTAATTTTATTAACTTTATTAATTTATTAACTTTATTACAATTGTAAATACATATTTTTATTAAATTTACATATAAAAAAAAAAAACTAAAACTAATATTAAAATGCTTAGTTTCAGAGTATATCTCCTACTTATCCCAACCACCACGGAAAGGTGTATCTCATTGGTTGGGAAGGTAAACCCCAACCAATCTTTCACTTCACCGGTACTAGTCGTGGCTCGGTTCCTGGTGGCGCGAGTAGGTTGTTTCCCTTAAATCATTAACACTTTCGTATTTCATCAAAGTAGCTTTAACTCAATTTATACTCTAAAGTTTGAGTATACCTGTTAAAATATCCACATCCAAGTATTTCCGTCCAAGTATTTCCGTCCGAATATTTCCTTCCGAGTATTTCCATTCGAGTATTCATGTTCATTCGTGTTCGTATTTCCGTTCGAGTATTTCCATTCGAGTATTTTCATCCGAGTATTCATGTTCGTGTTCGAGTATCCATAATTTATTTGACGGCAAATTGTATATTAAATAAAAGTGTTAAGTGTATTAAATATTATGTGTTGTATGTATGTAATTTAGGAATTTAAAAGAAAATTTAGGAATTTAAGAAAGATATAATGGAAATAATGAAATAGCAAGAGGAAAAAAAGACATCCTTATATAGCTTTGTGATGTCTTTTCTTCGACGCGTAAAAATCGAATTAACGCGTAATACATGTAATTATGTAATTTTTTCACACGAAAATTTTTTTAGCGATTCCGTTGTCGATTTCCTCAATTGAATATTAAGCAATCGAATACGTTATCGTTATGTAATTTATATTCGCATTACTATTGTTCTCTGCGAAATAATCGGAATGAAATCTAGTAAAACTGGTTTAGGTCCGGATTTGAATTTGGATCCCGAACCACATGAATTACGTACGTACACACGTACGCAATTACTATCGATATACCCTTTTTCTGCGATGTATTCTTTTGGGAGGCAATCTCACGAAGAAATATTATGCCGTTCACTACAGTCAAATGCAGATCACTGCAATTGGAAAAATGTTTATGTATTTATTTGAGCACAACCGTCCAGAGGATTCTTATATTACATGTTCATAAAATAACTTTTGCAAGAAACGATTTTAGAATACGTAGTCTTTTAATTTATTGCAGGTCATTTCTATATCGCGTAAAATCCCTGACTTCGGTAACAAATTTATCCAAACAAGGTAATATATAGTGGTGCACTTTCGACACGTTTGCCAATATTCACAAATTATTACATCTTTCATCGGAGTTAATGTTACGGCAAAATCACCGGATTCGGCGTTTGACGAAACTATGACACCACCTTCGCATGTGTTAATACATCTTTTGTTTGTCATGTCTCTACGCTGCAGAATACACGTGAGACCTTCGATAATGGTTTATCTATTATGAAGAATAAAATAAAATTAAATATATAGTAAATATCCCTGTATTCACTCATTGAATTAATTAAAATATTCAAAAAGTTTAACAATGTAAAATATATTATTACGTATATACAGTAAAGTAAATATGTATAAATTGCTCACAAGGTATTTTGCTTCGCAAACTCTACCAGGGTAAATACGGGTCATGTGGTGGCGCCACCACATGATCCGTATTTACCCTGGTAGAGTTTGCTACGTATGAGCGGCCGGAACATTGTGATTATTGAAATTAAATATGAAATTATAAAGTAACTATATAAAATCTATATAATATATATAAAACATTGATACGTATGCAATTGATAAATAACTTGCAAGAAATTTTACACAAAGGCCAATTAAAGCCATATGATTGGTTTTTTCAAAACACTAAATACTTTCTTATGTGATAAGATTGGCCTTTTCACTTACGAGAAATACTGTAAATTTACGCGATAAATTACCCAATCGGAAATATTAAAAATGCTGATAATCATTAACCAATGAAACGATCCATCACTATACTGTTTAGATGTTACACGATTTGGCATTAACAAAAGCGAAGTTTTTTTTCTTGCAACCGTAATCACTGTTGAATTGATTTATAAATTGGAATACTAGACTTATAAATTCCAATTCAATTACTAATTCAAATTACTAATTCAAATTGCTGGTGCCCAATTGGACTGTAACCTTTAAACTCTTGCAATAATAAACTTTAATACATATAATGGCATATAATGGAGAAGCTTTTTATAAAATGTTTTTTTTTTAGATCGGTGTAACTAAGTCTTTTCATCATTTTTTTGTTGGAAAACTTGCTACAATAACGATAAACTTTAATTGTATAGAGCATAAATTCTATTGGCCCATTATTAATGACAATTACAGTTATTGCAGATCACTATTTAATCATAATCCCAAACTGACGCGTTCACTTCATGATATTATAGTTTGATATTCTTTACGTCCCCTTGAAACAAGTGGGCGCAAAGTTTATCAAAGTTTATTTTTATCAATACATATCGTCACCGATATTTAACTTACAATTACTTCGGCAAAATGTCTCAACCTTTCCTTTTCCAAAAACGTGGCAAGCGGACACTTGTCATTGCTTCGCGTTACAACGGCTATAAAGGCAATATTGCTGACTCGTCAAAGGAAAACATTCCTTCCCTTACTTATAAGTTCGCTAACTTGAAATTAAATATGAATCATTCGGATTCGGACTGTGAAGTGCTTGAAATTAGTTCACCTGAAAGGTCCCAAAAGAATGCACGTGACTCGAAGAATACTTACACTAAGAATAATAAATTCAGAAGACCCTCACCTAAACCAGAGATATCGAAAGAAAAAACATACAATTCCCAAAGATCATTCCGAAGGCCTTCTCCTAAAACAAATAGGTTTTCTGAGTTTCGAGGTTCATCGACCGGATTTAATACTGAAAAAAATAATCTAGGGTCTATTGAAATTTTGGAACCTTCTAATAATTCAAAATTTAAAAGACAATCTTCTAAATCAATATTGGGTGAACGCAGTTTAAAGTACACGCAAACTTTGCCAACTTTAAACCATAAGTCTAAAAGCAAGCTGTTCGAAATATCGCAAAATGTTAGAGCATCATCTCCTCAACTTATTGACCTAACTAAAGGTTCTAAAGATCGTCCGCAATCAACTTTTAAAAAATGTACAAATGGATTTAGGGCTCCTTCTCCAACAAAGGGAAGGTATATAAACCTACCAAAACTTGATTTACTATCCGATGAAGGTACTCCCGAACCAAGCGATATGCGCAGAAATAGAGAAGGTATTATATATATATATATGCATATATATTGAAAATTAAAAATCTAGTTTTATTTATTGCAAAAAATTTTTTTATCCTGTTCAGGTTCCATAGATTTAAAAAAGAAATGCCCTTATTGTAATGAACCTCTTCCTGATCCACTCCCACCACGTATACGTGCATATCTGGAATCACCTAGCAATATACCTTCATTGTCTTCAATTAATGGTCCTTCATCGAGTATCGTAGATCAATTTGAATTTTGTCGTCTTCATGACGCGGAATCTCATATTGTACCAGATGGTCTTCAAAAAAATTACCCATTAGTCATTGACTTTGACACTCTACCAAATCGGATTGAAGTTTTATTTCCAGAATTGTTAGAGGTTGCAACCGGAAAAACTAAAAGTCTTTTCAGGGAAATTGCGATGGATGCGTACAACGAATTAGGAAAAGCTAGAGCAAGAAAACCGACCGTAGTGATGGGGAGATTTCAGAAATTTTTAGTATGTTTGGATTTTAATTTTTATATTACATATAAAATTTTCGACAAAAAAGATTCATGCCTATATATATATATATATTTATTTATTTATTTATTTATTTTATTTTATTTTGAAACAGCCGGGTTATTATGGTTCTAAAGGATCATCTGTTATTTTTTCCACTCTCGTTTCCCTTTTTATTGAATCAAAACGATTAACATTGAATATGACTAAACCACAAGAACCCCTGGAATATCTTAATCAAGTACTTGTTCCAGAAACTGCAATTAGACTAATTGCCGAAGACCGGGGTGGCATTGCATTAAAGGAAGCAAGGGAAATAATGGAAGATAGTATAGAATTTGGAATGTATGTCCACGATGTAGAGGAAGAGGATATATGAAGGATACACATGATTGAGAAAGTAAGCACATATACGTTTATAATCAAAAAACGTGCCGTTTATGTTATGTACCATGACTAATTAATATTTTAATATATCATTCCCTTACAATAATAAATAGATATCTATTCACTTATTATGCTCTATATTGCGAATCATAGAATGATAAATACTTTAATTATAAATACTTCACACTTCTTAGTAATGTAGTAAATACGTATATAATTTACAAAACTGTTCATTAAACCCATCACTGAAAGTTATTTGTATTGATTATTTTATGTCTGAATGAAATGCTATTTTTTAATTTCAATCAAAGCACGTGAATCAATGAATTTATGCAATTTACATATTGAAATAGACTTTTTTCGTTTGCTATCCTATTGTATAATAATTATTGTATCACACTATCCTATTGTATAATAATTATTATATCACACTATCCTATTGCATAATAAGTATTACATCATTATATAATAAGTATTATATACGTTTCTATTTAAAAAAAAAAAAAAAGTTTATTGATATTTTAATAAGTTCGTTAAATCTATGAAAACTTAAAAAATAAAAAAAAATAAAGAATCACATACACTATTTAATTGAGCTTTAACGAAATATTAATAAATCTGTAAACATTTTCTAACCATATTTTTTTTCGGTTTTTGCTTTATTTTTAAGGTTTATTGAAAAGAAACGCTAGTCGGCTCGGCTCAAAGCCATGATCTTTATTATGAACCATTCTTATCCATCCCTAGGTGTTGATAAATATAATGGTGTGAAAATACCTTTTACAGCAGTGTTGACCATTTTATGTCATATTCCAACTCTATGACCAATATGGTCGGAATCCAATAGTAAATTTTATTTGTCACTACGGGTCATAAGGTTATAACCTATTATTAGCAAATAAATCATAATGGGTTATAGACAAATACTTTTCTATAGTGCCTTCGATAATATAAGACTTGATATTATCGGATATCTCTTCCTAAAGACGATAACGCTTTAGACGGTGGTGGCGGGGCGTTTATACTAAATGACCGTGCTAACGTGTCTTTTTCCATTGCCTTTAGGGTGGCACGCAAGGCAAAAGGCACGAATTGTCTATTATTGTTCTGATAATTTTGAGTTCTTATCCTATTCCGAACATCAAATGCAGTATCCTACAAATTATACATCAGATGGATTAGTAACAGAGTAAAGAGTTACGCATTAAAAAAAAAAAATCATTTAATACCTTTTCGGACACATTTGGTACAACTTTTTCTTCTTCATTATCATCTTCATTATAATTCATATAAATGGCTTCGTCGACCTTTGTCAAGTATTCAAGTCGTTCTTTCTTGATTTGTTCAAGTTTGCCTTTCAAATTATCGACAATTTTTTCGTCGGATGCATTTAAAGGGGCGACAATTGACCAGATATCTACTAGTTGATCTTCTGTTCTTGAATTCATCTTGTTACGTGTGATCTTGCGTGACGCTGCCTTTGCTTCCTCTGTTTCGGAGATCTTTCGCTTTTTTAAATGATATTGATTGATTATTTGATCAAGACAGTTCAAAGATTCTGGACATTCAAATTCACCCTTATCAAAGTTAAATAAAAAAAATTTACATCAATGTGTTTTATATAATTTTGAAATATTTTAGATGAATAACTTACTAAAGATCCAGTGCTTAATTCGTCTTTAATTTCTGTTATATAATTTGGGATGATTCTAAAAAAACAAAAAAACATATATATAACATTTATAATGGACGCATAGTAATAAGCGATGTATAAATATAAACCTTTTTGATCCTTTTCCTTGCGTAATATTTCCGTATTCTCCACAAGGATCAATAACAGCCACAAACTCAAACGCATCATCTGCTCTCATCTTTTCGTATATGTACTCTGCATCATATATATTATGTTTCTGACAATATTGATAGAGTTCAAATAACGATTTCCACATTTCTGAAATGTAATACTATTAGTTTACACGTTTGCAAAAGGTATTATAATCAAGAGAAAAAAAAAAAAACCTTACTTAGTGATAGGCGAATCCTAACTTTGTCGAAGGTATCGGGCTGCGTATAGAATAGTAGATATAAACCATATAAAACGCCCAATTTTACTTCTAATAAGCGTGTACTGGAAAAATATGCTAGTAAAGGAAATCAAATTAATGAAAAAGACGATTTTCATTGACGATAATATTAATAAGAATAATAAATTACATAATATGATTTGATATAATGCTTGCATAAAAGTTGGTCGTCCAATTTTTTCGGTACATGCAAAATGCATCAATGAAAATTTATAATCCTTCCAAACACTTGCGAAAGTTGTAAAATCATAACTTTGTTTCTAAATGTTTGATTTCGTATTAACTTTAATATTAATTGACACTTGAGTTTATAACCAAAAAAAAATATATATATCAAAGTACAAACTTTTTGGTAACCAACTATGAGCAATCGAATATCATGTTCAAGAGCGGATCGGGATATCGCCTCACTCCCGACCGTAAGTCCATCCTTTAAAGTATTCGTAGAAGTTGCAGGATTCATTTTTTTAACATTTCTCGCAGTAAGATGAATAAAAGAGCGTAAAATCACGTGTAATATCGAAAGTTTGTTTATAACATGACTGTGAAAAAATATTGATTTACCAAAATTGGCCAATCAGAATGCATAATTTGGTGTAACACAATATTCCGTGATCAGTAGTTTCTGTTTGTTGATTGTCTACTTCCACTTCGGCAAAATTAAAGTTAGCCTCCGATCACAACAAGCAATTTTATTGGCTATATGTCACGTGGTGCACACGGTTTTATACATTATTATAAAACAGAAAAAAATTCACTTCCCTTCAAATTAATTTTGAACCTAATTTTTTTTTTTTTGCTATCTTTAAAAGTTAATTCTGATAATTTCAAATATTCAAATTCAATAAAAAGACGCGACGATTAAACATGCATTCGTTCGTGAGTTATTTTTCCTCTTTTATATCAAACATTAAAGTTCAATTTGCTTTCACAGCCTTTAGCGCGACAGTAGCTACAGCAATCGCGATATTTTCATATCAATCAATTCAAAGACAAGCGCGTACTCGAGCTCTTAAAAAGGAACTTTCTTCCTTACCACCTTCACAAAAGTTGCACCAGCCAAGAAAGCTTAATGTCGAGCAATCAGGTGCCGTCACCGAACAGAATCAATTTGATGAAACACTCATAAAAGAACAATTGGCTAGAAATATAGCCTTCCTTGGCGAAAAAGGTGTTGCCAGATTACGAAAATCTTTTATCATAATTGTTGGAGCTGGTGGCGTTGGATCTTGGGCTGCACTAATGCTGGTTCGTTCTGGAGCTGAACATATTAGACTTATAGACTTTGATCAAGTTACATTGAGTAGCTTGAATCGACATGCTGTTGCGACACACTCAGACGTTGGTGTTCCAAAAGTTGTTGCATTACAAAAAAATTTTAGGGAATTTGCTCCTTGGGTAAAAGTTGAACCAATTATTGAACTATTCACTAAAGAAAGTGCGCCTCATCTCTTATCAGGTAAGAAATTTTCAAGAATTGTTTTTTATTTTCTTATAATTCATATTTAAATAGAGCCTTTACAGGAAATCCGGATTTTATCGTTGATGCAATTGACAATATCGATACAAAAATTGATCTTCTCAAGTATTGCCATGACAATAAATTACCGGTAAGTGTTTTTTTTTTATTGTATCATCAAAATTTTACTGCTTTAATGACCTATAGAAATCACGTATAGATTTTGAGTTCGATGGGAGCTGGTGCTAAAGCAGATCCGTCACGCGTCCAAATGAGCGATATAAGTCTGACGATTGGTATACCATTATTATTATTTTTTAAAACATTAAATTATACCTAAAAGTGAACAATATCCAAATAATAGAGGATCCACTTGCAAGAGCTGTTCGGCGCCGTCTTAAAAAATTAGGTGTTGAATCAGGGATCATGGTAGTATACTCTACTGAAAAACCTAATATAAAATTACTGCCATTAGGTTAATGATCCAGTAATTTATTTTGTAAAGACGTGTCTTTTTATTTCAACTGTTCTTGAATGATATATTATTATTTTTCACAGATGAAAGTCGTATCCAAAGTGCAGGAGAATACGCTACATTACCTGATTTCCGATCAAGAATTTTGCCAGTGTTAGGTTCGCACGTATTTGTACTCTAAATTATTTTAGCTCTAACTAAAATACGCGTTTTTTTAGGCACAATTCCTGCAATTTTTGGAATGGCAATCGCCACTTATATTATTACTAGTGTTTCTGGGTATCATGTAGAACCGTTGGCTAACAAAAATCGCGAACCATTATATAATCGAATGCATCGCGATTTACTGAACAGAGAAAGAAGGAAATATGGTGTAACGTGAGTTAAGAAAATAACAGATCAATTCTTATTACAGTCAGACCCTTAAATGCAGTGCCTCTTTAAATGCAATCTTAAACCCCCATAGATACAGTTTTTTTAGATGCACATTGACAAAAGTTTATCTATACAAATTACATTTAGAGAGATCTGACTATGCGTATTTATTATATGAATTATATAGTTGATTCAATTTCTAATCTTTATTTAGATCAATACCCCTAGACGTTCACGATGTTGGATACGTTTATGATGAGATATTTCGTAGCAAAAGCGTAGTTTCAGGATCATGGGAGAAACCATCTCTTGTTAGATGGAAAAATAATGCTCCCTTATCACTACAGAATTGTGTGATAATGACTAAGTCAGAGGCAGATGCACATGAAAGTATTGATGACCCGGAAATATATTATTCATCAGAAGTTGTAAAATTAGTTCATACCAGATTTCAAGAAGAAAAAGAAATAGCTTCATTTCGCTAATCTAACTGCTAAATAAATAAATAAAATTATCATTATGTTGAATTCAATATAATATATATGTAGTTATGCTGTGAGAATTATTTTGTGTAAAATATATACTTTGTTTTCAAAAAAAAAAAAAGTTAGTATACACTTATCAAATAAGGTTCACGTCGAAAGAGTAATGGCTACTGCTATAACAATAGTTGATATATTCAAAGTTTTGTTTATTTATCTAAATAGTACATATGAGGGTCTATAGCAAAAGGTGATGGTTAAAAAAATATTCCTGAAAATTTTTAATATTGTGTTCTAAATGATCTAAGTTTGCAAAAATAAAATTTTTAAAAAAATTGTTTTTGGCCCATCATTACCTTTTGCTATGGGGCCCCTATATATAACTTTAAATAAAATTAAAAAAAAATTAATGTTATATTTTATAAAAAATTTTTATTTGTAACTTATGGCACTTTATTATATGTATAAGTTGTTAGTGATATTAATGTTATTCTTTTTACTTGCATTCAAAGTTCGTTTAAATTTTTAGGCGGTTCTCGCTTTTGTAGTTTTTTTAAACATTACTTTATTATACACCACACATATTCTATTAAATTTAGATTAAAAAAATATAAAAACCATTTAATACATTTGAAATTTCTATAGTAAAAGTCATCTTTTATATTTTATCATGTTGAAACATAATATTATTAATAGAGCATGCAAGTCTGGTTTGGGTCTGATCTAGTTTGATTAAATTTAAACTTAAATTTAATTATAAAATTTGTAAACTAGTTTGAGTTTGAATATATAAAAGATATATTTTGAATATTAAAACAGGTTTATTTAGAACAAAATTAAAATTATTAGAAAATTTTAAGTCATACAAGAATTTTTTAAAAAAATTTGTATTACTTAAAATTTTACTAGTGAATTATAATTTTTAATTTTAAATAAATTTGATTTAAATTTAAAAATATATTATATTAATATTAATTTTTATTTTTAAAAAAATCAAGGCAAGACCTTACTTTTTTTTTTTTTAAAAAAAAAAAAAAACAAAAAAAAACAAAAATCTTAGAATTTTAATTTTGTAATTTAAAATAAAAATCAAATTAGATGTGAAATCTTGTAAAAAGTTTCAAGATAAATATAAAAATAAATTAAGAATTTTTAAAAAAAGATTAACTTTGTAAAAAGAAAGCATTATGTATAACAATAATGTTATACAAGGTTTAATTACATAATAGTATTATATAAATAAGTTTTTAAAAATGAAACAGGCTAACATTTCTGTATTTAACTTACAAAACACTTGATTATAAGAATAATATAATATAACTAAACCTGAAATAATAAGTAATATAATGTAAACAAAAAAGATTTATAACAAATAATTAGTTAATTAGAATTGAAACATCTTAGACTAATATCAGTAAAAGTATTAAAAAAATATTATCTAATAGATAGATATATATTATAATTTTTTTTTTTAATGTTAAGATGAGTACATATAACCTAGAAGTTTAATAATATATAGTATATATTAACTAGCATCTGTTAATATAACAGATATAGAAACAATTATAGAAAGAGTATACAACTGGTTATTTGTATAACTTTAGTTATTATCTAATTTAAGTAGTCTATCTGAAGGTTCTATATTAGTTGTTATACTTATAACTTATTTGTAAATCTTCTATTTAAATATTCTGATCTCATATTTATCACATTTTATTAATAATACTAGTAAACTAATAAAAATATACTATAATTACTAAGTTATATTTAACTTTATACTAAACCCATCAAAGCCTTCTGTATTTCATACTTACAGTTGACCTGATATTACTTTGGTCTAAACCATTACTTGCAGTCAGTACTAACTATTAAACTACTATATTCTTGTAAAGTTTATTCAAATTCTAATACTTATTTTTTTGATATCTTCTTTATTATCTTCTACTAACTACAACTAAGAACTAACAAACTCTTCAAACTTCCAAACCAGATAGTCTGATATAGTATATCTTAGTATTTTTTTTTCTGATGATTTAGTAGTCTGGTTGGTTATATGCTTCTTTATACATTTTATTATTCAGTTTATTTGCCTATTCTTACTAAAGGTGTTTCATAAGCTTCTATTTGTCTGACAGTATCATCAAAAGTTTATACTATCTCTTTAATTAGAATTTTTAAATAAGCTTCTGGCTTTACAGTTTTTTTACTTTCTGTGCCTAGTAG